AGAGCATCATATCATGTACTGTGCAGAGACTCAAGCTTCACTTGGACTCCAATGCAAAGTCTTGGTGTCCCATGGGACTTTTGAGAAGCAGACCTTGTGGACAGTTGAAGACTGGTGGTTTATGGGAAGATTTTGCAACTTGAAATACAGAATATTAAATATGGAAGTAATGGCAGCTAAGAAAAGCTGTGGAGAAAAGCCGGCTATAAAATGGGTAAGTGGACCTTCATCCACAGGAGAGTCCCAGGAAACATGTAGTGACCTCAAAGTTATCTGACCTGGCAAGAGGGATATGGATGCTCCTGTAACCTTTCCCTGAACTCATTCACTGAGTGACCCAGGACATGTTTAATACCCAAATGTTATGGACCTGTATGAGAAGAGAAACCTTAATGGAAACTTCCCCTCACAGAGATGCAGAAGAAGGTGTCTGAGCCTATGAGCCTCCAACTGCATAGGAAAGGAGGTGTCTGAGGCACAGAGTGAAATGAAAGGATGCTTGAGAGAAAATGTATCATGTTGCCATCCAGCCCAAAACCCATTGTGGGCCAAATATATCACTAAAGGTGCTGAAAGTGAAAGAGATGGAGAAGACACTTTGAAAACAAAGAGACAAGGTCAAGAACATCACAGTGCCCTTCATGTCAAATGGATGCAATGGAAAGGATATGGTCCAAGAGTTCATTTACATGTTATAAACAAAACTAAGTGCCATGGAGAATCACCAAGGTAGTGGAGGTAAACCAAACCTTTATGGGAAAGACCCAACAGAGACACATATTACAGGATAGATGGAGTTAATAGAAATCCTCCAAGTTATTTGTTTCTGTACCCTCTTTTGGCTGTGACACTTAATTAAAGCCAAGAGAAAGAGTGAGAGGAAGGACCATATCTCTCCTATGGTTCACCTCAATGTGACCACTGAGATGTCCTCACTGCTTGTGATGAATGCCACCGAAGAGCTTATGCTTCTGTAACTGAGACTCTCTCAGGGGATAGATCCTGTGGTGTGATTTCAGGGATGAAATGGCTTTCTCAGCTCCCCTTTCTTAATTTGCTAGAGACTAGTCCAGAAAAAATAATTAGAGTTGCTTCAATAATGTGTTTGCTTTACCAGTTTCAATTAAGGACAAGAATAGAACAGGAGAAAGAGAAGGCACAACAGCGAAGCACTGGCTTTTATGTCTCCATTCCTCCATGCAAGCTTGCACAATCTTCTCAGTTGTCTGGAACTAATAAGTTCTCAAGCTTTTATTCTGAGCAACTGGTGTTAATGTATTCATTTACATGCTTAAGGCACGCAATTTTGATAAGTTCTGACTGGCAGGCACACAGTAAACCATTACTAAAATACAATCAAGAAAGCAAGCACATACATAACCCAATGTTTCTTTGCTTTTTTAGCAACTCTCCCTCAGGCCCTTCCTGCTCCTCCAGACAGTCTTCTGTCCCAGGAAACCATCCTCTCCTTTCAATCGCTCTATGCTTCTTTATGTTGCTGAGATGATATGCAAATGAATCCATACTGTGTATGCTCTGTCTGGCTGGCTTCTTTCACTCACCACAACTTTATTGATGCTCATCTGTATTGTGTTATCTATAGCTCTTTACTTTTCAATTGCTAAGAGGTATTCAAGTTTTCAAAACTGTAAAGTCGTATTGGGGATAGGGCTAGAGAGTTGGCTCAGTGGTTAAGAACACTGTCTGCTTTTCAAGAAGACCTGGGTTCAATTCTCAGCACTCACATAGTGGTTCACAACCATCTGTTACTTCAGTTCTGGGAATCTGACAGTCTCTTCTGGGCTCTGTGGGCACCAGACACGCATGTGGTGCATAGACATACATGTAGGGTAAATGTTCATACAATAAAAAACACTTTTAAAGACACTGCTGATCTTTACTCAAAAAGTATTGAATAATTCCAGAGCAGATACTGCTATATATTTTAAGTATTTTTGTATTTATTCTTGTAACTTAAATATGTATTCCATGAGGTAACATTTTACTTTGCTCTGGTTTTTCCTATTTTTTTTTACATTTTTCTTTTGTTTTTGAGATTATAATATAATTACATCACTTCTCCTTTTACTTTTCTCCTTCAAACCCTCCCATACACACCTCCTTGCTCTCTTTTAAATTCATGGCTTGTTTTTTTCATTGTTATTTTATACACACACACACACACACACACACAAATCTCTGTGTGAAAATCAAACTTTAGACTGAACTTCTATTTTTCTTCTTCAAAGCACACACACTGAAGTTGTCCTGGAATGGACAAAAGCAAGGGACAGGTAAGCATAAACATAAATATTATATGTATATAATATATAATGTATAAATTACAATTATATAAGGATATGTATATATATGGAAATATATTCTTACACAATGTATATATATTATGTATATATATATTTTCTATGTATATATAAAGAATGTATTGTGTACATATTTTTCATATATATATACATATACAATTCATATATGGTTTATATTTCACATATATAAATTCTATAGAACCAAGAGGTATGGCTTAATCAAGAAAGAGGAAATAAAGAAATAAATGATGGTTAATGTTCCATAAAGATATTATCACTACTTGAACCAGCCCAAACCCTCAAGGCTTTGTAGAGAATTCCTGAATAATGAAGGTGGTTGTTTTTGCCACTGCTAGTGGCCTAGTGAACCTTTCTCCACTACTCCCATATAATACGCTTATGCAAAATTTGTGCCGCCAAATTCCACTGTTCCCAGACCACCATCAGCTTTTTGTCTTCTTTCAATCTCATGACTCTTGTTTTTTCCTTCATTTCTTGGCTCAATCTATCAACTTCTTCTTTGTGTGAATAAGCAGTCTCTCTGCAAAATAATTTAATAAGTGTGATGCAAAAATAAGCAACAAGTGTCTCTGAATTGTTCTGCAACAAAAAGCATTATTTCTTGTATCCCTGACATATTTAAAACTGACAATAAATATCCAAGTGGGATATACCAGGCATTCTAGCTTTAAAAAATCTCTACAATTGCCATTTAGAATATTTTAATGGCACATGAAGACTCCAAACACATATGCACATGAAGACTCCAAACACATATGCTCGCACACACACACACACACACACACACATACACAGGGTTATTACTATTGTTTTTTTTTCATATCTGAACCACAGGTTCTTCTCCCTCATCTCCAGCCCCACCCTCTCCTCTTGCCCCTCCAATCCATTCCTCCTCTGCTTCTGTTCAGAAAAGGGCAGGCCTCCCATGAATATCAACAAAGCATGACATATCAAGTTGTGGTAATACTATGTACCTCCCCTTATATTTAGGTTGGGAAAGGCAATCCAATATGAGGAATACGCACCCAGGAGCCATTGAAAGCATTAGGAACATTCCCTGATCCCATTGTTAGGAGTCCCACAAGTAGACCAAGATACATACCTGCCACATATATGTAGAGGGGGCTAGGTCTGTCCCATGCAGGCTCCCTGGTTGTTGGCTCAGACTCTGTGAGTTCCTATGAGTCAGATTAGTTGTACAGACCTAAACTGAGAATTTTCAACAGAAGAATCTCAAATAGCAGAGAAACACTTACAGAAATGTTCAACATCCTTAGCCATCAGGGAAATGCAAATCAAAATGAGAATGAGATGATTCTGTCTCACATCTGTCAGAATGGCTAAGATCAAAAACACTGATGATGTTAGAAAGGTTTGCAGCAATGGCAACACTCCTCCACTGCTGGTGGGAAGGCAAAATTATATAGCCACTTTAGAAAGCAATATGGGAATTAATCTACCTCAGGGCCTCCAGCCATACCTACCACTCTTGGGCATAGACCCAAAGGATGTTCAATCATACCACAAGGACACTTGATCAACTATGTTCATAGCAGCTTTATTCATAATAGCAAGAACCTGGAAACAACCTATATGCCACTCAACCAACTAATGGATAATGAAAATGTGGTACGTTTACACAGTGAAGTATTACTCAGTTGCTAAAAACAATGACATCAGGAAATTTGACGGCAAATGAATGGAACTAGAAAAAAGTCATCCCGAATGAGGTAACTCCGATTCAGAAAGTCAAACATGATATGTACCACTCATAAGTAGATATTCACTGTAAAGTAAATAATAACCATGATACAATCTACAGACCTAGAAAGGCTAGGTAACAAGAAAAGTCCAAGGCAGGGGTACATGGATCTATTTGGAAAATTTCCTGCTTGGACTGGGGCTGGCTCAGGATCAGAACTTGAGGGATCAGGTGGAGAGGTGGATAGAGAGGAAAGTACTGGAAGAGATGACTGGAAATGGTGGGGTTGTATTTAGGGGTCAGGTAGAAACCTGATGCAATGGAAACTCTTAGAAATCTACAAGGATGATGCCAGCTAAGACTCCTAGCTATAGTGGATACATATCTTGAACTGGCCATCTCCTGTGATCAGATCAGTGTCTACCCCAATTGCCATCAGCGAGCCTTCATCCAGAGACTGATAGAAACAGATGCCGAGACCCACAGTCAAACAGCAAGCCTAGCTCAAGGAATCCTTCTGAAGAGAGAGAAGAAGGATTGCAGGAGCCAGAGGGGTCAAGAACATCACAAGTATTACTATTGTTACCAGACAAGTCTACAGATCGGTGCCAACACTTTCCCTGGGAAGTCACTAAGAGGCAAGTAGCCTATACCTTACCTCTTAGTCATGTCAAGGGACACACTCAAGACATATTTTTTATCTTAACATTTTCCCATTAAACATAAATTCCATATTTCTGTGTGAAATCTTTGATAAAGCCAATGAATTCTGCAGTAGGAAGCATTATGCCACAGCACACAAATCCTCAGGTTGGACAACAGAATGGCCTGACCTTGTTAGCAATGACATAAAGGAACATCACTCCCCATCACTTAATTAGATATAGCATTGCCTGTCAGATTGAGGGGTTAGATGTGACAGCGGCATAGGTTTTCTCTGTTTTGTCTCTATACAGCTTCCATAGTCTCTATCTACTGATTGGAAAGCCTACCCCATCCTGGTGCTACGCAAGGACAAACCACATCACTTCATGATGTATATTTTCACCATCTATCAGGACTCTCCAGTTCCAGGTGAACATTTGCCCATCCTATCTCTTTGGGAATTCTTTTGCATGTTGTCAAAGACCATGTTTATACTTGGGTGGTGACTGTCTCCATACATGGCTCAAATGCCCCTTTGAGGCAGAGTCTTTCCCTGAAAGCTGTCTACAAGGTCATGTAGCAACTACATGCAGAGTCCATTACTCACTAAACAGTTCTTCCCTGACCTCCCAAGGTCCTGCATGAGGAAGACACATCTGGAGTTTCTGAGTGGTACTGCTGGTCACTTCCTCCTTAGAAAGCAGTCTTGAAATGAGGAGGCAGGTACCATCTCCATGTCTCCTGACACCACTTTCTTTAAAAGCACCACTCTATCTGCACTGTCTATAGCCCTCATGTGAAGTGCCCCCAAAATTTTAAATGTCTTCTCTTTGTAAATGCCATCTACAGTAACCTGGCACCTCAATTTGGGGATTCCTTCCTATTTTACTTTGGTTCTTATTAAAAGTTCCCATTTTAATACAAGAAGACTCATGCTGGAGTGAAAGAAATCAGTGGTTGATTGTAGAATACTCTTCTTTTAAAAAGGAAAATAATTTTTGATGGGACTAGCATATGTAATCTTTGTCTTTGAAGATATATTGACCTAATTCTCCACAGGTATATAATCCTGGGGGGTGAGAAAATGTGAAAATAAATCATGGCCCAGCACAAAGCAAAGCTGAATTTTAAGAACTTCTTTGTAGTTTCAAAGAGAGAAAATTCCAAAATATTTTGGAGACAAAACATTCCAGAATTATTATCTTTTGAGTTTACTTTGAGAAACAATTCAGATGTCAAAAGGTAAGTGACACATTAAGCAAATAATATAGTTTGTACTTTGCACAACTTCACAGAAATTTCAAATGAAGATCCAGATATCTAAATTTATTGGCAAAAAATGTTCATACTATGCTGTAAATTTTAAAAATTAATCAAATATTTTATGGTGTGATCCATTTTAGTAAGTAGATGAAAATGTGCTCATGAAACAAAATCTGGGGACTGGGGATGCCACTCAATTGCAGAACACAGTTCTGTATACATAAAACCCAAGTTTAATCCCAGCTCTACAATGAAATCTGAAATGATAAATATCAATATGATAACAGGAATTATTTCCGGATGTAGGACTACAGCTCAATTTTAGTCTTTAAATTTTCTATATTCTCTGATTTTTACATTGGGTATTCTAATATTTTATAGTGAGACAGTAAACGAAGAAAGATGTTTTCAGTGAAATAAAATGCATATCTCTTCCAAGTGTGAGATCTTTTATTCTATATAATTATCCTTGAGTTTATTATTATGAGGTTTAACAAGGGTACTTCAGGGTGTCTGCAATTCCATCTCAGTCTTGAATTTTAATTCAAGTTTTGCATGTGAAAATGTCCATAAAATTTTTTAAACTACATTTGCTTGTTTATTTGGGGAGAAGTGGTAGAAATCATGCTACAGCATGAGTGTGGAGGTCAGAGGGAAACATGCAGTAGTCAATTCTCTCCTTTTACCATGTGGGTCCTGGGGACCAAACTCAGGTAGTGAGTCTTACCTTCAGTGAGGTAAGTGCCTTACCTGCCATCTTGATAGCCCATTCATGACAGTATTTTAAAGATATTAAGGAGGGAAATTGCATGCAAGTGAGTCTGTTTGTATCTTCACAAAAAATGTATAGTTATTTTATTTGGTAGTTGTAAACTTATAGGAGACAAATGTATAGCTACAAAATTAAGGTTTACCTTCAACTGGTGAACAGCTTAGGCTCCTAATAAAACAGTTTGCTCATCAATATTTAATATGTAGTGTCTACAGTTTCCATGAATATGTATAGATTTGCAGGATGCATGTTTATTTAAACAAATATCCCCATTCACCATAGTATAGCTATGTGCGCCATTTATATTGAGTCTTATGAGAGCCCAGGGAGGAAAATGAACTGTTATTTCAATGCATTACAGAGAATGAGAAGTGATGCAGCCACCTTAAAATGTGCTGTGCATCCTCAGCTAGTGTTCTCAGGGTGTCACAGACCCTGTGTGTGCAGAACAAATGTGGAGCAAGAATGATCTGGTGTAGCATTATCTTTTAATTGGAGTTTCTATTTCTGTCACTGTTTCATTTGCTCACATAATAGCTTAACCCACAGCAACTGGCAGAGGCATCATTGTTGATTTGGACAGTACACAAAGGACACATGCAAAGTGTTTTGTTTGCAAAGAGACTTGGAGATGAATTTAGAATTGTGCCTAGATTTTGCTTGGGTAACACACACTACCTCTGAAAATAGCTAACTGCATTTCATCCCAATTCCAGGAGCCCTCGCATCCAAGCAACACCTGAAGAATCGTCCCTCCGCAGCTTCTCTCCCTATTCCTCTCGCTTGTAGCTGAAGGTTAGTTTGTTGTAAGCTGAAAAGTATATTTACCTATAACCAGCAAATGAGGAGAATAGAAACTTGGAGTTCTGTGTTTGCTGAGAGATAATGACCAAAACCATTAGCCCATTAGAACATAAAATGTGAACAGGCAAATGTGTCCTTACATAACAATGATTTTTTTCTGATAATTTTTGCCATTAGAGTCAGTTCACAGATGGAAGTAGAATATATTGAGCCTGCCTAGCCTAAGGCACTGCATAGATACCTCCTTTACCTGAATCTACATGAGCTACTGAAGAAAAAGTGGTTTTGTGCTCCCAAGAATTAAGTTCTGTCCATGCATTAATAGTCTTCTATTATCATAACAAATACCTGAAACAATCAACTCACAAAGAGAAAAGGTTTACTTGGCTCATGATTCTAGACCTTCATTCGATTATTGCTTAGCCCTCATACATCATGACAGGCACATATGATGAAATGAAGTCACTCAGCCCCAGGGTCCCATTCAAGCACAGAGCCTCCATTACCTGACAATGAGCCCAGGGCTCACTTCTTAAAGGTGCCACCACCTCCCAGTAGCACCAAGTTAAGCACAAGGGCTCTAACACAGTGGTTCTCAGTCTTCCTAATGCTGTGACCCTTTAATACAGTTCTTCATGTTGTGATGACCCCAGTCACAAAATTGTTTTTGTTGCTACTTCATAACTGTAATCTTGCTATTGTTTTGAATCATAATATAAATATTTGTGTTTTCCAATTATCTAGGTGATCCCTGTAAAAGGGTCATTCAACCCTCAAAGGGTCACCACCCACAGATTGAGAACCACTGCTCTAACACAAAAACCTTTTAGGGGACATTCCACATGCAAGCTGCAACACCTTAGGAAAAGACAATTGTGTTTGTTCCCAAACTTGCCTTATGCCAGTTGCCTAACTCATGAAATTATGCAAGCTCTTTAAATGTCATGTAAAAATTATGAAATATGCATGAAAAGAGACTTCTTTTTTAATAAATCTCAATTGCATAGTAGGGAAAAATCTTAGTATAGGTGAATAACATTAAAATAAATGCTGCTCCAAATGCAAAATGACTGCAAAAATGATTTGGAAAAATGTTGAAAATTAGAAAATTCTGTGTCCAGGTCATTTTCTTGCTACTTCTCTTGCTACCACTGAAAATTGGAAACAAACACAATCTGCTTGACATAAAGACAAAAATAAAGGCAGTGTTGTTTTTAAAGAAGGTCAAGAAAATTAGAGTTCCTGACATGCAATACTTAGGAGATGGCTTTGGAGGACCACTAACCCAAGGGCAACCTGTGCTACATGCTGAGACCCTGTCTCAAAAGAAAATTAGACATCACAGCTGCTTCAGATAATAGTTCTTTGCAAGATACAGTAAGTGGTCATGAGCCCACGAATGCTGGGAACTAACTCATTTTTCTTGTCCTTCCTGGTCCTATTCACAAAGACCCAAACCCAGGTGGCCTGGCATGGAAGAAGGATAACATTTCTGAGAGAGGGTCATTGTTGACACAAAGCAAGGCTTAAATATCAAATTACAGATAAAAAATTAGCAATGTTGAACTTTATATAAGTCTTACAAAGACTGGACTGAACCTATTACCAAATTTCACATGGAAATACGTGCACAAGTGTGGGATACATAAGCAGAATTATAGCTATACATGGTGGCATACATCTATAATCATAGTGCTGAGAAGACTGAGACATTTAGGGTTTTGAAAAAAAGCATCCTGTACTGCAGATAAAGACCATGTTTCAAAAAATGATGATACTAAGAAGAAAGATGATTGTGACAGTGGTGATGGATGGGGGAGGAGGAGAAGGAAGATAAAAGGGGAAATGCATATATAAACACACTAGGACACTCAAGGGATAAAAATAAGTGTGCAGCAGAGGAATGCTGGTCCCAGAACACAACCTATAGAAAGAAAAACCCCTTACCTATAGTATTTATCATAGTCCAAGCATTTTACCTCTGTTCATTCTACTGACCACTGAGCCTCCTTATCAACCCTGTTCTACCATTGAAACCCCTGCAAAACTCTGTGAGAAACATGGTTCTGAATCCCATATCATTCTGCATGATAGTCCACAGCTTTCCAAATATATTCCTACTGCCTTTATTGTTTGAATCTCATAACAAATAATATGGTAACCTGCAACTATTTACCTTTTATGCACGAGAAACCCAAGATTCAAAGATCTCAAGACACTTGCCCAAGCTCATACAGATGGGAAGGATCAGAGTTCAGAGCCCAGATCTAGCCAGGCACACTTTGTTCTTCACACTGATGAACAGTTGACTAGCTCGGACTGGTCCCATCAACTGACCACAATTGTACCTGCCTCCCATGTGCCCCTCCAACAAGCATAAGAGTTTGGCTCTGTGTCCTTGACTCTGGGTGGGCTGGGTGACTATAGAAGGCATAACCCCCAATGGGTTCTATTGCATGCTCCCATTGAAATCTAGATGCCAAATTTGTCAAAAGAGGGAAACTTCATGGACAGGATGTACATATGTGGCCACCCATCTGCCAGAATTGACCTTGAACTATGAGATACCTGATTAGGATGCCTTCAGATGGATCCAGCCCCAAACCACCTAAACCTTGCTTCAGACTTTATAGTTCAAGTTGTAGATATCTTGACACAGACATAAACCAGCTCCACCCTCAGTGCCCAGATTGCTAACCACAGCACCCCCAAGCATAATAAAACAGCTGCATTACATCGTTATATCTGTGGCTCTTCATAGTTAATGACTTCTATCAGAAGGCAGTGGAAAAGGACTCAGTTTTGCTTAAGGGGCTGGCCCCTGGGAGTCTGACCATGCTCCGGTGAGTACATGGACAACACAAATTAGACTTGGTATATTATAATTCTTTTGGGGTGGAGCACAAGGGTAGGAGGGTAGACCTGGGAGGAATAGGAAGCAAGTGTGATTGGGGAACATTGAATGAAATTCCCAAATAAAAAATATTATTTTGGAAAGATTTATGAATCTTAACAGGTAAAATTCAAATCCAGTATATTATAGAAGAAGGCAAATGTCTGGCTGGTTCATTATAAAGCAACCTGCTTAGAGATATTAAGGGCATAATTATGTATGAAGGTTCATCACAGACAAAAATATTTAATAACAATTGCATTTAAGCAAAATGAAGAGAGGTAAACTAATTAGTAGTGGGTCTCATTTTCATCAGCTGTTCATGCTTGCAAGGCATTTGTTTTCCTTTCTCATTAACATGAGAGGAAACATTATGAAGCTGACAAAGGAGCTGGTTTGTAGAAACATGGTTCTCACTGTGTGTGTGTGGAGTTTAGCACCTTTAACCATGGACTGAGCTCCTAGCGCCTCAATTTTGGACAACTACAAATCATAAGATGGCTTATCAATAAAAATAGTCTTGCAGTAAAAAAAATAAGCTGACCAGTATGTCATTATTTTGTTACAGGACACCAGCTTTGTGGGTTTGTAAACTCCTTTTTTTTTCCTGGGAGACCATCGGGAACCTATGAGTGAGTGGACTGAGGGGGAGGAACCCAACAGTCTAGTTCCCCTATTGCAAAGCTGGAGAACTGATGGCTTTGATAAAGGAGCTACTTTTTGTATTATTTCCTCAAGTTTATAATATTCCACTAATGTTAAGACAAAAATCCTTTCTGGGACTCAATTCTAAATTTGGTTTCTTGTAAAAAAATAAAAAGAAGAATTTTGTCCTCAGATTTTACAGACAAAATAAGCTTTTTGAAAATTCAAATTCTCAAAGACTTTCTGCCACTCTTACACACCTGATGTTCTCAAACTTGGAGGCAAAAGTAGTATTGGTAACATTTCTGTGAAGGAAGCCTACTTGCTTCTGAAGCTCACTTTTTTTTTAAGGTAAAATCTCAAGTGTACCTGCAATTCCTCTTTTTGTATCAAGATCAATAGATGAATTTAAGTATTATCTTAAAAAAACAAGAGCAGGATAGGTGCCTCAAAATGGAAAGAAATGTTTAATTATATCATAATTGATCCCACTGATTGGGATGCAGGGTCTGATGATTGAGATTGGGGAGAGGGGTCATCCTGGGCTACATAGTGGAAAAATAAAAAACATCAAAACAAAAATATGAACAGAAGGGAAGCCCAGATACCATAATGGGCAACAGCTAGGCAGTGGCGCCATCCCAGGAGATACCATATGTGATATTAACTGTTACCACTAAGACAAAAATGTTGAGTTTTAGGTCTAAGGAACAATGCCTCCATGACTGATTATGACTGTTGAGCCTGGTCATTAAGAAAGATAAGAGTTTTAGTTAGGTGTTATTTAAAATAGAGCAAATGTACACAGCTGTACTTGCTTAGTTACCTTTTCTGGTATTGTCATAAAGCACAGCTAGGAGTGTAAGAAGCTTTAGAGGGGAGCACCAACCAGTTCCCAAATCATGACATGGAGACTTATCAGTTACAAATGCTTGACCTTGTCTTATGCTTGTCTCAATAGCTCTTAAAAACCTATTTCCCTTCATCGACATTTTGCCTTAGGCTTTTTACCTTTCTTTCTCTCTGTATATCTTAGTTCCACTGCTTCTCATATCTGGCTGGCTGGTGGCTGCCTGCCTTCTGGCCCCAAGTATGTCCCTCTCTTTCTCCCTCATTCTCTCCTTTCCTCCTACATTTTCTCTGTGTACAAGCCCTACCTATTCCTCTCCTGCCTAGCTGTTGACCATTCAGCTTCAAGTCAGACTAATCAGGTGCCTTAGGCAGGCAAGGTGAAACAAATGCAATACTTCTTTACATTAAAAAATGCAGTGCAAACAAATGTAACACATCTTTGTATTGTTAACAAAGGCAGCAGAAGCAAATACAATAGACCTTCACAGAGTTAAAGTAATATTCCACAACATAAACAAATATAGCACATCTTTATCTGATTAAAATAATATTCCACCACACAGGACCACAGAAGAAGGAGTTTATTATGGCTTATGGTTCCAGAGGGCTGGAGTCGCTAAAGTTAGGGACAGTTTAGCAATGGGTAGTAGGCTCTCTAATCTCAAAACCCATCATCAGTAATATACTCCCTCCAGAAAGACTTTAGCCCCTTAATTCTCCCCAAACAACACCACCAGCTAAGTAAATGTTCAAATGGGAGACATTTTGTTATTCAGTATAGCACAAAGAGCTTCCTGCATTGGCTAGAAGCTAATATTTGGTTACATCAAAAAAAAAAACCTTCCACACAACAAGCTTGACATGTTTCCTAAATTCAAAAATTTTAAGTTTATACTCAATATTGGTCAGTCTTATGGTTTAGATGTAAGATGTGCCTGGCAGGTACACTTAGTGGGGACAGTGGGTAGTGCTATCCCATGGGATTATGGAGCCTTTGGAACTGTTTCCTAGCTCAAATAATGGGATTACTAAGGATAAGCATTGGGAGTTCTATCCACTTCTGGCTGGTTCAGGCCTTGACTCTCTGAATTTGATTGTTTACCACGATATGAGCATCTGCTTCACAAATCTACCATCCATGCTGTGAGCCATTCCAAATGCTGTTCCTCTGTCACCCATGAACTGAAAGCCAAGATAAGTCTCTCTTCCCTTAAGCCACTTCTATCAGGTACTTGACCACAGAAATGCAAATTAAACAATAAAGTCACTAATATGAACCATGTGTTGGGCTGCAATGATGACCATGATAGCCACTGAAATTGCCTTGAGACTTTTATTATCATATATTAATTATACATAAGAGTTGGATTCATCATGATGGTTTTATGCATGCATGCAATATATATTGATCATATTTGCTGAAATCCTTTTTGTTCCTCATCTATGTCCATTAATCCAATACCCAATAAATCCCGTTTCTCCTTTTGTGTTTTTCTTTTTCGATGACCCAATGAATTTAGTTACACTTTCTTACAGAAGCATGGGTAATCGATTATTTAGAGGACTATGGGAATGACATCCTTTTAGGAGGAAAAAAAGCAGTAGTAGCTTTTCATTAGTTAAGGACTTCCCCTGCCCTTGAAGCTGCAGGTTTCCAAACAAGGGGTGAAGTTCCTCTTGTAGAACAAGCCTCAAATCCAACCATGAAGTACTTGGTTTCACCCTAGAACCATACCATTATTTCACCAATGGGCACATCTCGCATTGATAGTCATGTGATATACAGGGCCCACAACTGACTGTTGAGGACTCCTACAACAAGCAGTCTGCATAGAACCTTCCTACTTGTTTTTAATATGACAATATTGTATCTCTTTCACTGAGATACAAATAGTAAGTCTAAACTTGGTTATTGCCTAGGGTTCTTGAGTCTTCCTGGGTAATTCTAATGTATAAACAGACAGGGTCTTTGCTGAAAACCTCCAAGAGCCACATTTAAAGATACTGTACCAGCTGTTATTTTTGGATATATAAAGGTTGACAATTGTGCGGCTTAGTGAATCTGGGAGAACATTGAGGGTGTCTTTGAGATATTGAGCTGGTAGATGAAATAGCATATTTGGGTGTCAGAGTGTTGCCTTCAGTCTAAGCAGGTGCAGAGGTAAAGTTCTGCAGAGATATCTAATGAAGGCAAGTTCAGTTAGCATTTTGTTTTCAGGAAACATGGAAGCACCTGCTGTTTGTTTATCCTTCTCCAAACACAGGTGTTTTGAATCTAAATATAAGTAAGATGACATTCTTACAAACAAACTATGCTTTACAACTTTGAATCTTTGATAACTCAACACATTTACCAGTCAAGATCTAGTCTAAGACATGAATAAAATTTGAGTACTGCAATCTTAAAGGATAGTACCCTTTCCAGAATGTGTATAGTTAGAATCATATACTATGTAGCCTATGGATATTGGCTTCTTGCACTCAGATGAATGACTACAAACATCTTGGATTAGTTTTTTGCATGGACATAAATTTTTAAATCCTTTAGGCATAGACTAAGAATTATGACTGTTGCACGGCATTAGAATATGCTTAGCTTTGTAAGAAGCTATCACATGGCATCATTATTCCTTTTTCTCCAGCAATGAAAGTTCCTGTTGCTCTGTGTCCTCATCAACATTTGTCATTGTCATTGCTCTGGATGTTCCCTACTCTGACAGAAATGTAGTACCATTGCATTGTTATTTTAATTAGCATTTCTGTAATAACCTACCATATTTATCACATTTTCATGCTCTGAACAAGGCACTTGATACTTTTTTAAATTGGGTTATTAATTTTCTTACTGATAGATTTTATCATCTTAATTTATCTATCTATTCTTAGAGAATTTCATACAGTGTACAATGCATTTGATCATGTCCACCCTTACTCTCCTCCCACCTTCTCTAAGAACCCCTCCAGTGTCTGCCTCCCAATTCTAAATACTCATATTTGTAATCTTTTATAACCTATTAAGTCAAGTTGGTACTGCCCATATGCACATGGATATAGAGTTATTCATTGGAGCATGACCAACCTCCTAAGGACTGTACCCCTGGAGAAAATTGATCCCCTTTACCATGCAGCCATCAACTGCCAATAGTTTCAACTAAGGGTGGGGGCCTCATGAGATTTGCACCCATTCATGCTGGAACATTGCATGGCTTGGTATTAGGCAGGTCTTTTGCAGCCATAGCTGTTGTGATCACAGGAGTATAATGGTCTTCTTGAGTCCAAAAGACACTGTTTTACAACTCCTCCCAGCAGTAGTTTCCTCTGAGATTGGAACATTCTCTGTCTCTGGAAAACTCCTTAAGACAGAAAGTAAACAACTCAAAATAGCTTCAGGAAGTCCCTAAAATTGGACAGGTTCACTAGGCCCCTCCCTGCCAAAGTAAACAAGAAGCATGGCCTATGGTCACCTCAGACAAGTCAAGACTGCAAAGAAGACTCTCAGACCAGGCCAGCTGCCTAGAAGAAGCAGAACCAGCCAAGCTCCCTGGAAGGGGTTTAGACCAACTGAGTCACTTAGAAAGGACACTCCACAATCCTTGGAGCTGCCTTCAGGTTGTGTGTTCTATTCCAATTTTCCATCTTTTGTGACCTGTTATCAATACTGGAGTAGGCTTTGGTGGGACAGCTTTCTTTGAGTCACTTTTGATCCTGTAAGAAACCCCAATGAAACTCAGTTCAACAAGTTGAACTTTGGTAGTACCTTTATTTTGGTCTTTTGTGTACTTCCTATCTAGGGTGAGTAGGCATTTGTGTTATAAGCCCCCAGATAAAGTCTTATTAAGCAACAAGGTGTGATAGAAGGTCCATTTCATGCTGAGCCTTCCACAGTCATTTCTTTTCTGCACTTTGACTAGTTGTGAGTCTGTCTTAATTGCCATTCACTACAATAAAAAGCTTCTCTGGTGATGAATGAGAACTGTATTAATCTATGGGTTTAAACATAAGCATTTAGAAAGCAATTTGATACTATGTCCACTTGGAAAAATAGCAGTAGTATTTTCTTCCCTAGGAGGACCTCCCCATCCACCGGTTCCAAAGCAGGTTAATAGTATTCAGTATGAGTTCCTTTTCAGGGGGCCTTAAATCCACCAAAAAGCTGTTTATTACCCCTATAATGTAAATTCCACTATTGCATCATTCTTGTTGCCAGGCCAGTCTTTACTCTTGTAGTTCACAGGGTTCATAGCTCAGTAGCACTCTTGGTAAAATTTCCTAACAGCTTGTGTAGTAACTTATGGTATTATGAAAGCTAGCCATCA